AAAAAAATTATACCGCTATTTTTATTTTGAAATCAAAAAATATTTTGAGGTCGCTCAAAGCGCTTAAAGTTTTCCATGTATTTTATATGGGGGAAAAAATAACTTATCGTAGAAATGGTATGGAATTCTTGAAAATCAATAGCGGTATTCATCTAAGCTGATAACTTTATCAAGCAAATAATCTTATAAGTTTACGCACTCTGTTTCATGAACGACCCAGACTCTCTTTTCGTTTACACTTGTGACAATAGTCGTGTTTTCTTTGGTTATCGAGCTCAGTATCACTAACTATATATTACTAGCACGAGGATAAAGAAATTATAGAAACTAACTCATTAAATGGGAAAAAATTATGATTTATTTTGGAACGGATTTCCGTCATCCCTTGCCAAGTTTGGTTTGCAGACAAACTGGTTTCGGCATTGTGCCATTTTCAGTGTCATTTTTCGGAAAAAATTATATTTACGAGATAATATCTATTTAAATAAATGCACATATAACATAAACGCGATTTATTTGAAGCAATTGTAAAGAAACAATGACAGAACATCTGTTTGTGTATGAATTCATTTGTCACTGCTACCACACTGTGCTGCCGAATTATCAGTGAAAGAAAACAAACAGAACGGTTAATAATTTAACCAGTAGTACGGTTCTTAATCTAAATTTAACCACATTTCACGTTGTTATCTCTAGTTAACAACTTTTTTTTGGGGTTAAGTGATTGTGTATCAACGTTAACCCTATTTGTCATTGTTTAGTGTTAACAAACGCAGTCAGCTATTTGGTGACAATTATTTTTGTGGTTAATAGCATCTAGTTTTTCATTGTTAAGCTGTTGTTTGCAAACTTTTCTGTGAAGTTAAATTGAGGAAATTGAGAAAATTGTGAAAATTGTGTTAAAAATGGCATTTGCATACATTGCATCATATTTATATGAAAATGATAATGAGCAGCCATTAAACGTGCCAAGAATTGACTGGCGTAGGCTTCGCGAAGTCGATAACCCTTTCGAGCTAACGCCAACGGAGTTCCGGAGGCTATATAGACTTAGTCCCGGCATGGCTGAAAATTTTGTGTCGCAACTTGACAATCAATTAAGAGGATCGCGAATAACAGCGTTATCGACCGAAAAGCAGGTAAATCAATATATATTTCAACTTTATTAAATATTATAGGTGCGTTCCAGCGGTAGTACTAATTGCAGGGTCTGAAGGTTTCAAGGATTTACAGGAAAAGCTGTTTTTACCTTTAATAAACCTTATGTGACGTGGAACAGCTTTTCCTGTAAAACGTACAATTCGTATTACCGCTAAAAAGCATCTTATATAAGCATGTGTTTATGTACTCGTTGAAGGTTCTAGCTGCTCTACGGTTTTATGTCACTGGATGCTATCAACGCCCAGTGGGAGAACAGTGGGGCATATCCATGAGCCAAACATCGATAAGCCGTTGCATACACCGTGTGACTGACGCAATCAACAATTCAATGTTTACTACCAAAGTGAAGTTCCCTATGACGCAACTGGAGTGCCAAGCGGCAAACGAAATTTTTGCGTCTGCATCTTCACCATTTGTAGCAGGAACTATCGGTGCAATCGACTGCACTCATGTTTCAATTTTGGCTCCCAAAAATAATGAATCCAATTATGTCGATCACCATGGGTACCATTCAATGAACGTGCAAATGGTAAGAACAAATCTACAACATGAAAAAAATTATATAGTTATTTTATAATGGTTCAAACTTATAGATATGTGATCCAAATCTTAAAATTTTAAACGTGAATGCAAAATTTCCGGGAGCGCGTCGGGTCATGCAGCGATCATTTGAAACTGGAAATCACAACACGTTTTTGATTGGTAAAATGTTTTAATTCCATATGAATAGGAATATTAAAAGAAAATAATTACAGGCGATTCTGGATACCGTCTGGAGCCATGGCTGATGACTCCTTTACCAAACGAGCCAGAAGGAACACCAAAGTTTCGCTACAACGAGGCGCTATGTAAAGCACGTAACCCGATCGAGAGACTCTTGGGCGTCCCTAAAGGCACATGGCGGTGCTTATCACGGCAAAGAGTACTTTTGTATGACCCCGGTTTTGCTGACCGAGTAGTTAACGCGTGCGCAACATTGATAACGTTCGCTTGGGCGATCAAGCAACCGATTTTGACGATCGGGTTGTTTATGATCCCGAAATATTAAGCACTAATGACAATTCCGCAGCACCTTCTTCAGTAGCGAAACGTGTTCAGCAACGAATTATAGCTAATATTCGCATAACTTAATATATGCCGTCAACGGTCGTCTCGATGATAGGGCAGCCATCCACCGAGGGACGGATGTAAGTACCATTAGAGCAAATTATATCAACTTATTTATTTTACTTCAGCTCGCATTTATCATGAATGATTGCGTTTATTTTCTAGACTTATTCAATGCACGTTAACGTGCCTTTGTTTGTCATCAGTTTTTTTATCATCTTCAACAATATCAACAGTATTTATTTTTCACGTTCAATGAACATACTTGGCAAGCTGTTAAATGGCACCGCTAAAACTGCGAACTTACCAGCTAATTTTATTGATTTTTATAGTTCCAATGAAAATGTTCCACACCTGCGCTGGCTTTATTAGAAATGTATGTACGATTGCTCGTTCATACGAAATCGAACCGGTGCACAGTGCCGCGAAGGTGGACAAAAATACAAAAATCGACTGTCTTGAAACTTAGATGTTTTGATGTTAAGTTACAGCTAAATCTCCAACTAAGAGAAGTTCATAAGTTATTTTGTGATAAAAACAACTTTCAGCCTCACACACCCCCTCAAAGTACACCTATTTTCTACATACCATTTCATTTCGGCGATTCGCACATAAAAGTGGTCGCAGTTAAAAATTTGTTAAAAATACATTTTTATTCCTAGCAAGATCAACTTTTGCACTTTGATAAAGATATATGCGACAAACCAAGAAATGTATGGTTCATGGAAAAAAAATTTATACNGCCAAAATTGAAACATGAGTGCAGTCGATTGCACCGATAGTTCCTGCTACAAATGGTGAAGATGCAGACGCAAAAATTTCGTTTGCCGCTTGGCACTCCAGTTGCGTCATAGGGAACTTCACTTTGGTAGTAAACATTGAATTGTTGATTGCGTCAGTCACACGGTGTATGCAACGGCTTATCGATGTTTGGCTCATGGATATGCCCCACTGTTCTCCCACTGGGCGTTGATAGCATCCAGTGACATAAAACCGTAGAGCAGCTAGAACCTTCAACGAGTACATAAACACATGCTTATATAAGATGCTTTTTAGCGGTAATACGAATTGTACGTTTTACAGGAAAAGCTGTTCCACGTCACATAAGGTTTATTAAAGGTAAAAACAGCTTTTCCTGTAAATCCTTGAAACCTTCAGACCCTGCAATTAGTACTACCGCTGGAACGCACCTATAATATTTAATAAAGTTGAAATATATATTGATTTACCTGCTTTTCGGTCGATAACGCTGTTATTCGCGATCCTCTTAATTGATTGTCAAGTTGCGACACAAAATTTTCAGCCATGCCGGGACTAAGTCTATATAGCCTCCGGAACTCCGTTGGCGTTAGCTCGAAAGGGTTATCGACTTCGCGAAGCCTACGCCAGTCAATTCTTGGCACGTTTAATGGCTGCTCATTATCATTTTCATATAAATATGATGCAATGTATGCAAATGCCATTTTTAACACAATTTTCACAATTTTCTCAATTTCCTCAATTTAACTTCACAGAAAAGTTTGCAAACAACAGCTTAACAATGAAAAACTAGATGCTATTAACCACAAAAATAATTGTCACCAAATAGCTGACTGCGTTTGTTAACACTAAACAATGACAAATAGGGTTAACGTTGATACACAATCACTTAACCCCAAAAAAAAGTTGTTAACTAGAGATAACAACGTGAAATGTGGTTAAATTTAGATTAAGAACCGTACTACTGGTTAAATTATTAACCGTTCTGTTTGTTTTCTTTCACTGATAATTCGGCAGCACAGTGTGGTAGCAGTGACAAATGAATTCATACACAAACAGATGTTCTGTCATTGTTTCTTTACAATTGCTTCAAATAAATCGCGTTTATGTTATATGTGCATTTATTTAAATAGATATTATCTCGTAAATATAATTTTTTCCGAAAAATGACACTGAAAATGGCACAATGCCGAAACCAGTTTGTCTGCAAACCAAACTTGGCAAGGGATGACGGAAATCCGTTCCAAAATAAATCATAATTTTTTCCCATTTAATGAGTTAGTTTCTATAATTTCTTTATCCTCGTGCTAGTAATATATAGTTAGTGATACTGAGCTCGATAACCAAAGAAAACACGACTATTGTCACAAGTGTAAACGAAAAGAGAGTCTGGGTCGTTCATGAAACAGAGTGCGTAAACTTATAAGATTATTTGCTTGATAAAGTTATCAGCTTAGATGAATACCGCTATTGATTTTCAAGAATTCCATACCATTTCTACGATAAGTTATTTTTTCCCCCATATAAAATACATGGAAAACTTTAAGCGCTTTGAGCGACCTCAAAATATTTTTTGATTTCAAAATAAAAATAGCGGTATAATTTTTTTCGACGTAGAACAGTTCTAGGGGGTTAGAGCATTAAAGTTCCGACTTCACTGTTTTTGGTCACACCCTAATATACAAACAAACAAAACAATAACTGTTTCAACATATTAAAGTATGATTGAATTACAATAAAAATAACATAACCGTTAGAGATCAAAGCAAAAGTTAAGCGTAACGTAAGTGGAAGCAAACAAAACAAGAACTATTTTAACACATTTTTACGTAACTAACTGATATTTCATGTTATAGGGTCTTCTTTCGCGTCTACCATTCGTATTTTTCACTAGTTTTAACTTTGCGTACTCGCCATACAAAAGTTGTTTGCTTTCAATTTAAAACATTTAAACAAACTTGTGTTATAGAATCTTGGAGGACTTTAGCGCACGCGCCTTTTCAGCACCGACTGTTTCTTCAATGAATTCCCCAATGCACCTGCAACTTAGTTTGCCAATCGCGCCCTCAATTGTAGCAGGTAATGTGGTGGGTGCTGTTGTGAAGGGTTATTCATTGACACCACAAAAAGAGATACAAAACTACATCAATGCTGTTGGCATAATACTCGCTGCTCTGCTTAAGAAATATTGGAATGCAAATGAACACCATGGGTAAAATTGCGTGTTCTGTTTGGTATTATTTTCAAAGGGATGTGTAAACATATATCCTTATTTCAGTGAGCCGCTGATATGTGTCTTCAGTTGGTGCTGCCTTCAGTAAAAATTGTGAAGACTCGCTGGTCGCACTAAAATCGCTGCAAGAAATTATGTATGACAATGCAGACAAATTGGCGTCACTTACAAACGAGAAAACAGCGGAAACAAAGATGAGGAGTTTGCAGGGTGAGTTGAGTTTAGCGGGAAGTTTAGTACCTTTTTAAAGCTGTTATTACTTTCTTGTACGTAGATTGCATAAAATATTTGGCTAAATATCACCATTGAAAGCACAAAGATTACAACGAAAAACAACCACGCCAAAGAGGAGTTTTATGTGCCTAGTCAAGCATTTTTAACATCGCTAATACAAATTTTCCCAGCCATTTTCTAGCACATACAAAAAAGGTGATGTAAGCCATAAAATATAAGTGAATTCAATTTCTAAATAAAATTATTGCAGATTTATTTAATCTGACTTTGAAAAGTTTTGCGTTGTGCCGAGGTATTTTATTGTATTTAGCTATATTTCAACTATAAGAAAATTATTTTATGACATATATAGGAAGCCATGGACGATACATGCAATAATAATCGCAAAAGTTTATTGGTAACAACTGCGGGGGTAAATGCATCATTGAATTCGAATGTTTTCACTGGGCGCTTGGCGGTTACTGCTTTACTACATCGATTCCAAGAAGTTTTGAAGCGTTCCAATGACGACGAACGGCTGATGGGCGCCGTGCAAGGGTCACAATAGTTCATTCCGTGGTATTGATCGTAACCAGGGTGGGCAAAAACTCGGAGTTCGAGCGAGCGAGTGAGAAAACTCCTACTCAATGCCTCGCAGACAACGAGGCGCACGCAGCTCGTACTCGTAGCAGCAATGAGGCGAGGCACGAGAAGTTTGGCTCGCTCGCCAAACGAGCGAGCGCTGCTTGTTTGCTCGCGCTCCTATTAAATGAGCGAGGCTGTTAGGTGTTACCTCGATCGCAGTGCGAGGCGAGTAGCTGTCTGCATACTCACTCTGCTAGGAAAGACGAGTGAGCGACGAGCGAGCGGTTCGAGTGTACTATACAACACATGCATTTTTGTGCATAAAAATGTGGGAATGTATGTCAATAGATTATGTACGAAAGTATGTTAATAATTGTATGTACATATGCATATATATATGTGAAGTATTATATTAGGGCAGCATTTAAAACAACAATAAAATTGATTACATACATAAGCATAGATTATGGAATGAATTATTTTTTAGAGTTATATTCATACATGTGTACACACATAACATGCATATTTATATATGTTTGTATGTACATCCGTTGTCGGACGTTTCGTCGTGGAGGCTGAATTTTCCGACGGTGGTTCCAAAGATCCCTTCTTTGCCCACCTTGGCATTGAAGTCGCCAAGCACGATTTTGATATCATGACGGGGGCAGCGCTCGTACGTGCTCTCCAAGAGCTCATAGAAGAGATCCTTGGATGCCTCATCCTTCTCTTCCGTCGGGGCATGGGCGCAGGTGAGCGAGATGTTGAAGAATCTCGCTTTGATGCGGATTGTGGCTAGACGCTCGTCCACCGGGGTGAACGACAGTACTCGGCGACGGAGTCTCTCTCCAACTCCGAATTTGCGCTCCTTTACATGGCAGCTGTAGTAGACGTCGCAAGGCCCCAGACATTGTTTGCCTGGCCCCGTCCAACGCATTTCTTGGATGGCGGTGATGTCATCTTTTGTCTTTACGAGGACATCAACCAGCCGGGCAGAGGCACCTTCCCCATTAAGGGTCCGGACATTCCAGGTGCATGCCCTCAAATCGTAGTCCTTTAAACGTTTGCCGTGGTCGTCATCATAAGGGGGGGTCTCATCCGAGGCTTTGCATTGCTTCTTCACTGGAAGTGGTTTTTACGTGGCGGGTCCCAAGCCCAGCGCACAACCCATTGCTGGGAC